ATTAGAATAGGGTTTCAAGGCCCATTCTACTATAAATAATGAAAAGGAACCCCCACTAGAATAGGGTTTCATGACCCATTATACTATAATAATGAACACAACATGACCTATTGCACCGCCTGAGTTCCTGGTGCAGGCTAAGGAATGATGAATCGCCGCTAACCCGCAACTCGAAGTACCTTACCTATAGTCTCCATTGTAGTTCCTTTTTGGAGATACCTGATAAAATCCTTATATTGTGTATTTGGTTAAACCAAACATTTTGTAAAAGAAACTACAATGGAGACTATAGGTAGGGTTCAAGGATGGGCAAGTACGCTTCAACTGCGTCCGGGGCTCCTGAGGCAAGCCTTTGAGACCGTGAAGAGTTACCTTGGAATGGCACGCTGATTCATGCAAAGGCTGCAGCCCGGGAAAATTGGAACAGGGCTTTCGGCTGTAGGATGCAGGTACGGTCAAACAATTCCAGAGTGACAAAATACTGAGGCTCCTGTGCGTGGGCTAGTACTGGCTGGTTGGCGTGAGATTGATTAAGGGTTGCTAGATGTGATCGGGCTGCGGCATAACAAGGCACGAAGCATATCACAACGCCAAAAGCACAAGCGTATATCTGTCTACCTTTTTGTATACATATATATATATATACATACCTACATATATATGTATATATATACACATGTATGTATATATTCACATCCACATACAGACACACACACACACACATATATATATATATATACATACGTGGCTATGTATAAACTGAGGTTATATGGACATACATGCACATGTATGTAGGCTCAAACGCAGGTGCCATATCTATGCAATAGCTAGACGAGGTTGTGGCAGAAAAACCGTGTACACATGTATATGTATGTATGCGTACGCATGCATGTATCTATATATATATATATAGAGAGAGAGAGAGAGATATATATATATATAGAGAGAGAGAGAGATAGAGAGAGAGAATACAGAGAGAGAGAGAGAGAGGCAGACATAGAGGGAGAGAGAGAGAGAGGAAATATAGACGTAGGCATGGGCCCTGAAAACTTCTTCAGGGTCCTTCCCACCTGGAAGCCGAGTAAAACCCAAAGCACCAAACCCCCAAACTGCTCCTCCCAGTACTCCAATGCCCAACCCAGAACCCTAAACCCCCAAACCTTACTTGGAGGTTCATGGGTAGTTATAAGTATGGTTATAAGTTCCCTAATATGGGTTATAACTATAGCTTCCCGCCCACCTCCACAAAGATGCTCTCGGCAGGATCGCTGGAGCTGATCATGATGTCCTCTGATTTGCCCAAGTTGTTCTCCAACATGACCTGCTGGTACCATTCTTGCTTTGGGGTTTTGGGTTAAGCAGGTTCCCGATTTAGTTGGTTTTTAATCCCTTCAATGCAAAGTGGTGCTGAACTGATATGTTAGGCGTCGGGGATTGTGCGTCACCCGGTGAAACGTTGCCGGAAGCTTCAGGGTCTAGGTCGCCACAGATTTCTTCTCGCTTGGAGAGCAGGTTGGCGTTTATGACTTCAAGACTTTCCTAGACGTATCAAGCTGTGCTTCGTTTACATGTTCTGGGAATTCCAAGGCTCTTCAGGCTATTGTTTAGCGTTTGAACCTTCCAGAGCGAATTTGTGCATTAAGCCTGCTGCTCCTGCTTGCTTTCAGGAATTGGATTATGCTGTTTCTTCGTTTTAAACTACAGTCCCCTAGGCTTCCAGGGACCTTATTTTTGGGTCCTTAAGGGGTCTAGGGCCCTAACTATAAGGTCCTTGGAAGCCTCGGGGTCTACAATCCAATGGCTCCCGGCCTACCTACTGTTTTTAGGGTTCAGGGGGGTTTGCCCACTTAGGGTTTAGGGTTTAGGGTTTAGGGTTTAGGGTTTAGGGGTTTAGGGGTTTAGGGTTTAGGGTTTAGGGTTTAGGGTTTGCCCACAACTTCCACGGATGTTCAACGAGAAGCGCGAGATGCAACAATGAGAGCCGGTTCGCCGGCGTCCCACCTTGGGGGCTTCGGCATGCGGAAGCGCGACCTGCCGGAGCTCCTTCCAGCGCATATAACAGAGTACACTATACCCATAGGCAAAATAGTAGTTCCTTTTTGGGGTTCATAATTAGAGTCGTATAAGGTAATCCCTACAAGGTACTACCTTGGGGCCTATGGGTAGTTCAATCTAGTATGATTTAGAATGTTAGAACATAGTAAGCTCAAACGAAATACAATCCAAAATCATATGCTCTAGGACAGTAGGATATCATTAGTTGCTTTGTACTCCACTATGGATTTAGGGCTAACTACATAAACTCTTGTTCACGATGTGCAGCTCAACATGGTGGCCAGGTAACACGTCCCTGGTGAATTGCACCTGCTATCTGCTATCCATGCACACACCAAATCAATCAACGCTAACACCCATTTTCAAAGACACACATGCATCAAGACCCATGCATCCTATGGACCCTGCAAGCCCGAACAACACTCTTCAACAAACCTGTTGGCTCGAATGTAATGACAGGGTTTGATAATGCTTATATGACGATTCGGGGTGTTGGGCCAACAGACGAACAGGTCTCGCGGATCCGGTTTCACAGGGCATTCTAGTTTATGCTGTCACGACGGTGACTCTTCCAGATTCAAGGGCTCAAGGGCAGCTTATGGTTTGGGCCTTAGGGATTTGGGGCTGAAACCTAGATTCTTGGAGCAGTTGGAACAGGGCAAATTAAGATAACGTGCTTGCGCATGCATATACTTCAATCTGTCCCGACGCGACGCAGCTAGCATTGTAACTCTTGTTTTGCGTCGTTGGGTGTTTTCCGCCTGAGATTTCCCAAGTGCCGCAATCCGAGAGCTCACATCCATGCACTCACACGCAGTCCTGGGATGCAGGATTGCCGCCTAAACGCCGAACCTGGGGCCATTGGCTGTTGGCAGCGACGTCCACTCCCCTCCCTCTGCCTCTGCACCCTCTCGCAAGATTCTCGCGAAGCCTTGTTGTTTTTGTCCTCTCCCTCCTGTCTCTCCCATTTTCAGCACAGCTCAAGACAAGCGAGCTGACCTCATTCTCCCGTGCCCTCAACCCTGCTCGATCTTATTCCTGTATCGAGAACCCTACCCCTTTCTCGGTCAGCAGAGGCTTCGAAGGGTCAAACTGTCTCCCAGACTGTTCCTCATTGTCTTGCTTTGCTCCGGGGAAAGGAGGATGGGCAGTCCCCATCCCCCGCTCGCCAGAGGGGCCTCATCCAGCATTTTGGTTGGATGGATTAGACTCCACACGGGCTGGTAGTGCCGGAAGAAAATTTTAAGCCCGGCGCCCGCGTTTGGTCCCCGAAGGGGCTTGTGAAAGCAGGTAGCTTTAAAAAATAACAACAAGCAGTCGCAAGGTATGAACTGCATTCACTGGCAAAGAGTCTTGCTTGCTTGCTTGCCTACAGCCATGGAGGAGCGGCCCCCCAGGCACTCACCGCCCCTC